TTGCAGTTCATGTCACATCGTCCAGTAATATTCTATCTGACGACCGTGCATCTTGAAAACAGCCCTGCAGTGTAGTTTCCATTGCAAAAGTCTCCATCGTAAGACTTCAATGGCTAAAACACACCCTTCCTCTTGTATGCTTTCCATAAGCCATCCAGTATATGAGCACAATGGTTTCCCAGCACTCGTTTCAACAGGCTGAATACACATAAATCCACAGGCAATATATCTGGCGAATTAACCTGTATGTCTTCGTATGGAATGATATGAATACCTATTTCATTCTCCAACTGTTTGGACTATGCGATGGTTGTAAAAATATATTGCAGAAACAGCTTGCGTACATGTGACTTGCGATTCCTTTTTAGACTGAGATCCTTCTTGACTGTGGTTTTTGCCACTGGACTTTGTGTTCGTGAGTACTCAGCTGTTACGTTGCTTATTGTAGGTGCTGTTTTGATTGCATATCTTTTCAGGCTAGACCTAGAGTTCCATATTTCTTTGTTTTCCAATACTATTAGGTACAAAAGACATCCCCGTCTTGGAAATTTTATATCACCGACCTAAACACATATTTATGATTTGAGTATATGAATATTTTGCGAGAAAGTGTTTTTATAAGCCTTTCTCAAAGCAACCAGTTTTCGGTGACATCACACTGCCTACCAAAAGCTGAACAATGTCAAAATGTAATTCTGGTAAATACCGTTCCACCGTCATTTTATATCAACCGTGGTTGTCACGTGAGTTGTTGATCTACATATCAATATCGTTTTAATATATTGTAATTTACCCTCTGTAATAAAAATTTACTTCCACAATGAGAGTTTATTCTGGTATCGGTCACAGCATTAACCTATAATATACAATTTTGAACTACGGACGCTGTAGCAATATTGACGTATAAAAGTTCTATTATCACCTTTGACATAAAACTGTCATAACTCAACGAAGAGATAACAGATTTGCATAAACTGTATTTTACGTATACTGATGCAATTTTCAATATAATTTGTTTTTAATCCTAATATTAAAAAAAATGAAACAAATCATATTTACAAGAATGTCATTTTTATGTATGTTAATATTATAATAAAGATAGTATAAACTACTTCTTTCCGTCTTAAGCTGATCAAGTAAGTGTTTATAAACCTTGCAAAATATTTCTGTTCTGTAGTTGGAGTTTTTACCAGAAGTCTCATAGTCTGTTGAGTCCTTTTGATGCGCATTACCGGTAAAATGTACATGATGTTACCAAAATCTATGAATCAAGTTTTAGAATGGAAAGTAGGACATAGAACATGTTTGAGATTGCGTCTTGCATACTTAGCATCAAAGCGTGCTGGAGAAAAAAAAATATTGGTTGGATTTCCATCAAATTACACCATTATTCAAGTATACAGTAAGTTACTTAGAAGAATAATTAGTTCAAAACTTCAGAATTAACTTAGTTTTGATTCTTTCTTACAACTTGTAAGAATGTAATGCAATATTATGAGTTAAAATGTCGAACAGGAGATCATGAAGAGTTTTGCTTGCAGAGTGAATTATCTTTAGTATTAAGATAATTCACTGAACTACATTTTATTAAAAGAGATTTTGAAAGTTATTAATGCCAATAAATTTAAACTTGCACTGAGATAATATTCTGAGTCATACGTTAAAAGTCACGCATGTGTATTTCTTCAAGTAAGTTGAAAAACGGATTGGAATGGAAGAAATGTCACTGTTAAGAAAACCTGTCATGTCTCTGTTGCATCGCTAATGGACATTACCACGTTTTAAACTCTTCATTTACAACTAAGTTCGGTTGATTAACTCTGGAGCCCCCAGTGGCACAGCGGTATGTCTGCGGACTTATAACGCTAGAATCCGGGTTTCGATACACGTGGTGGGCAGAGCACAGATAGCTCATTTTGTAGCTTTGTGCTTAATTACAAACAAACAAACAATTAACTCTGAAACGCTTTACAATCACCAGAACAATATGCTTTAAAGCTGATTCCGCCACCAATTGAACGACAAAGAATATGTCTAAAGAATATAAAACGTGAGATTTAAAGGAATGAGAACTGAAGTTAAAATAACAGAAATTCGGCAAAGTGAGAACAGCCCCAGTAAGTCAAATAAACAATAATTGTAACGAATTCAAATATTATAATATGTGGAAGAAAAATATAAAAAATAAAGTGAATTATATAGAATTCAAGTATTCCCTTTGTTCTTCATTTAAATAGATTTTTACTTTTTGCTGTTGTAGAAAACCAAGAAGTTTTTGCTTTTCTGAGGACCTTTGTAGAACTTTCCACTACCTTTAATTTCGGCATGTCACCGTATAAACGAATATCATTGTTTTTTTATATATTTTATCTGATCTACACACTTCATTAATCTTTATATTCTATAAAGTGTACAAAATAGTATGTGCACACGAATTTCCAAAACGCACAAGCACAGCCTTGTAACGGTAGGTCAAATTTTAATTTTGTACAAACGATATAATTATATAAGAGGAGTCATCAGTGTATTAGATTTATTAAAGCCCTTCTAGTTAAATTCAAGACGTCAAACTCCTTACTCTGTTTAGTACAGTAAATAGGAATTTCTTATGTAAGTTTATCAGTTTCACAGCGACAAGCACAACACGTTTATATCCAATGGATATATTGATAAACTTGCTGTCTACCCGGGTTACGAAATGTGCGTGTAATCGATTTACGATTAGCTTGTCGCTAGATTTCTCCTCAAACTTTTAAAACTTGGCCATTTTATTTGTGAATAATAATTGGCTTGTATACCTGGAAAATGTTGTTGAAACACATACATTCTATAAACCTTGCTATTTTAAAACGTGTTGAGTACATATATCTGAGAAATTAGATTCCAGATAAAAATTATCACGCTAAAGCTTCGTAAATATGTCATATTTTTTATTTACGTCCTGAGATAATAAAAGAAAATCTATATTATCATGCAATGGCTGTGTAGCACAGAAATCAAACTGCATTAATATTAACTTCCAATTAATTAAGCTAGCTACCTATTTAGATCGAAACTAAAATTCAACCTGATAATGAGTATAGCTAATTAAGTATACTTTTCTCAGGTATATAACAATCTACTTTATATGCATATACACATATTATGGTGAATCTGTTCTATGTATTTATATTACGAAGTTTAGTGATATTCATTTTTGTGCTTAATGTGACAATATCATTTATAACTTCTTGATATTCATGCATTGTTATGAATCTCGTGCAAAATCTATACTGAGTAGTGACACTGAGAGAAGCTCAACATATAAACAAAAACTTAATAATATTTTTAAATATCTAAATAAAGCAACTAAGTGAGTTTCCGTTGATGCGCCCCTTCGTGTTTTAGTTTTTAGTTATAGTTGTAGATTTTAGTTATATGTAGCGAGTATATGTGGGAAAATGCTAAACATGTTTTAATTAATTATCACCTCCAAAACGTATTTCTGAATTACTTTTGTATAACTTTAATATCAAATGCCTCTTTGTCTTATATCGAATCAGATTCGTACACGAGTTTCCTATTTTAGAGGGCATGACTTCAAAGATCGTACAACACAATAATTAACTTTGTCTTATATCGAATCAGATTCGTACACGAGTTTCCTATTTTAGAGGGCATGACTTCAAAGATCGTACAACACAATAATTAACTTTGTCTTATATCGAATCAGATTCGTACACGAGTTTCCTATTTTAGAGAGCACGACTTTAAAGATCGTAAAACACAATAATTAGCTTTAAGTTACTTTACTGTACAGTAACAAAGCTCTTCTTATCAGGATTTGAATATTTCTTGGCATTATTATATCGAAACCTATTTTAAGTCACAAAGGATATTGCTAACACATCTAGACAACACTTGCTTATAATGGTTGGAGACGGCTTCTTATATTTGGAAGAGAATGGAAAAGGTTAGTGGGAATATTGATGATCACACTTAATAGCTTGTTAAGAATATGAGGACAATGGAGAAAATGATCACTTAACGTGATAACTCCTCAGAGAGTTGATGCCTGGAGGCATGTATAACATATACACTTTTCAAATCAGGGTGAACGTAGAAGAAGTTAGGGAGAGGCAAATAAGGTATCGTAAAATATTTTGTTTTCCATAGATTTGATGTTTCGACTAGTTATAACTTCTGGTTTTTGTAGTAAGAGATTGTCTATCTCAATTACTTTCAACACTTACATATAACTGAACCTTTAAACCACACTTTTTGTGATAGCATATACGATTTGTGACATAAAGTCAGTTTACAATTATTCCGTTTATCATACACTCCTACAATCAAGAGTTAAAAATCATCCAATGCGGGGGTCACTATTTTCACCAGAAAACGCAGTGTGTACATGTGCGCCCTTGATAAATAAGTATATAGCAACGAATTTGTATTCAAATTCCAACAATTATAATTCAAAAGTAAACTGCCAATTGGAAACGTTCAGATGTCACTTTACCACATTTGCATAGGATAATATTAACTAAGTAAATAATAAACATATATTGGGGTAATTTACATCAGGCGAGGTGAATGAGGTAACTTTTTAGTAATTTTTAATACAAATATTGAAAGCAGTTTTGCTTTATTGATTTTAATGTTGAGCAAACAAATAAACGTTCTTATTCTCACTGAGTTAAAAGCTGGCATTTTTCGTAGCTTCATTACATGATCATTTTTATCTACATTAACCAAAAAATTGTATGCCCAGTTCGTGGCTTATACTTGTATAAACCTATGAGTTAATTACTAGTATGGCGATTTGGAATTTGAACAGTCTCGTTTACACGTCTATTCAACCATGTAACAAAAAATGGTTGCGTCTGGCGAGTATCATGTTTCACAGGAGAAAAACAAAATGTTAGTCATACTTCTAGTATTTTATGTTATAAAGCCATTAGAAGGAAAACAAAAAATAAATCATATTTTGTGCAGATTATGTAAACATGATAAGAAAATCCCATTCGTCTTGCATTTATTGTAAAGCTAAATATTATTACATGAATCTATAATTAACCTTACTTTGTTTAAAATTACCATATAGAAAATAAATAACATCAAACAAAATCTTAGGTTTAACATGTTTTACAAGTTAATAGCTGTCAGGGAACATATGCACACAATTTTAGTGAAGTTTTAACAGATTAAGTCAACAAAATAAACTACTTAAATAAAAACGCTATTCTGTCATTTTTACATATTTACAATAAGTATCGGAAAAAATACAAAGAAAGTTAATAATTCATTTATTTTCAACTTGATGAGCAGTGCGATATCGCTTCCATGGTTTTTATACGTATTCTAATAGGATCCTCATGTCTTTAGAGACTGTTAGATCCAAGTTTCATGCATTATCCACACGAACTTTCTCATTGCACGTTCTATCAATATTGACATTTTTGTTTACTTCCATGAAGTATGTAAAGTAGTCTTACCATAGATATTCAAATAAAATGTATAGTACAATATTAGTGGCGATTGTACAAGTCAGTCTTTTGCAATTAATTCATCAAATAATATTTCATACATTTTTGAAGTTAAAAAAAATACATTGACTATATTATTACTGCCCTGCTTGCCAGAGTGAATACAGATGACTTATAGACATAAAAGGCTAATAAATGTTACCAAATTTTATAATAGTTTTGACTGAAGGATTATTTGTGGTGCAATAAAATCCAACTTTTACAGCATTCGCGGATCCTGTATTTCAATAGGTTTATTCTCAAAGTGTTCCTATAATACGCATAAACACAATAATACATAAACACAATATATTTACTTACAAACGGGGAATGTATGCTATACGTATTTTTGAATATTAAAACAATATTAACAAAAGATTCAATCTTAAAATGATCTACCGATATTTAGAATCACCGGTGCAAAACACCCACCTATACTTATTAGACGGAAAACATATAAATTTTCTGGTGCGAAAAATATACATCAAACTAGAAATGACATCAGTTAAACACAGGTGGTCTTTATCAACAGCATTCTCGTTCTCGCCAATTACGTTTGGCATGAGGCTATGGTTTCTTTGTAGCAATCGCTGACTAGGGATTGTTAACTGTCCCTCTAGTGACGTCGTGTTGGTTGGTTACAAGGAAGGTCAGTAATGATCTTACCAATATTTATTTATAGACGTAATATTTTATCTCTTTTTTTCAAATTTAAACTACTCCTCCACTAAATAAAGTCGGTGCGTGAGAGTGACGTGAAAATCGATCTTCGGGTTTTACCAGCAGGTAGGTAAATGGCGATCGTACATCTTGGGTCTGAGAGGTTACTGTGGTCGAGCTGCCTGGAGAAAAGTAGGCAGGTCCACAATTATACGGCACTAACCCGTAGGAACCGGCAGAATGCGAATGTGACAGTGACGATAAGAAGCTACTGGCTGCCGTACTGTAAAAAGAGGGTGTCGGAGGAGCTCCCGCGTGTTTCAAGTGCAGTTCACCCGGGTTGAGACCAGCTAAAGGACTGGATAACTCATTAGTTGTTCCTGCTGCTGCTGCTGCTCGGAGTTTAGCAAGACTACCAACGTTAATACTGTTGTACAAGCTACTGAAAGAAGGTCTTAGCGAACTAGAGGACAGAGGAAACTCATAGGAGAAAGTCCGAGCCGTCACTGCTTTTTCACTGTCCAGTAGTGGAAAGGTGTGAGGGGGAATCTTGGGCAAAGAATCAAAGCTCAGAGGCAGGCACTGTCCAATAGATAGGAAACCGGTGTCTTTCTTCAAGAGAGGCTTTGGTTTCCGCCGAGGTCTGTATTTGTAGTCCGGGTGTTCTTTCATGTGTAAAGCTCGTAAACGCTTGGCCTCGTCGATAAAAGGTCGTTTTTCGGCCTCGGACAACTGTTTCCACTCAGCACCCAACCGCTTGCTGATCTCCGAGTTGTGCATCTTAGGATTTTCCTGGGCCATCTTTCTTCGCTGTCCTCTTGACCACACCATAAATGCGTTCATCGGACGTTTGACGTGGTGGTCGCCACAATTTTTAGACATTTTTACTTTCAAAATATAATGATTCACATACAGACTGTAAAGGATAACAGGATACGCCTGTTTTGTTCGAACTTCAGTATATATATAAATCTATGTGCTGCAGTTCGTCATCACGTATAACACAACCTTAACGAAAATCTTCTCCCTCTCCTCCCTTACACTCTAATAACACTCTTAACGACTTTTGGGACGTATATGATCTCTCATCTGATGTTTCAAGAACCTTCATTTGACAGTGTTATGCCAATCAGAACTTCCCAACGATATCGCTTCCGCCCATCTACTTATCGTCCATTCCTAGTGAGTCACGCCCGTCAACCCTGAGTCATTCATTGGCTATGATACCCTAAGAACCGAACAGGTTTTCAAGCGCCATCTATCTTTCCTAGGAGAAACATTCAATTATGTCTTGGTGTTTAGACAAAACCAAATTTTGTTGTTGAGGTGAGTGAAAAATTATAATACTCAATAAGCAACCCAAATAAAGATATTCCATGCATTGGTTACATTGACCTTTAAGATAAAATGGGCGTATCATTTGAGTTTCTCGAATCTATTGCAAAATACACATAGCTGTCGAAGTGGATAGTAGTACTGTTAGATACGGAGGTAAACAGCATGAATTTATTTGCAGGTAAAACTTGTGACGAGTGTTATTATAATTTATAAGAAGTGATGAAAATTCAAAAGATTACTTTTAGTGAACTAAGTTATCAATTGATTTCTAAATTTTTACTTTTTTTTAGTATTTTTTGTATATCACATTGGCAACGGTTCTGCCTTTAAAAATTTGACATCCTTCTCATATCTCTTTCTTTATATATATCATATGAGATCTCAATCGACTAGAATAGATATGCTCATAGATCTAACCATTTCAACCTTATCTATGGATTAATGTGAATATAATGAGTACTTTGCGAATCTAAACCGTTGTGTTAAATCTGCACTGTTATTGACACATGTCAATATCCTATTATGTCATTATGTAACACTATCTTAATTACTGCTAATGTATTTATAAAAGCCTTTCACAACTGCTACGCTTTAGTACTTTATGAAGCATATTACAAATGAAAACTATTTTTGTAGTTTCACATGTCAGAGAATATCATATAATAATTTACTGTTGTGTGTAATGATTATAATGTTTTTAAAACAAATATTGATTACTTAAAGTTGTTTATATTTCATATATTATAACAATACATGTTATCGTTCTTAGGTCTGTTTATTCAGTTCGTAAACGGTATTAGTATGTTCAATCTGAACGGCACCTAGAACAGCACATGGTCAAAGATCAGGAAGGTTCAAGCTCACTCATCTTGTTTAAAACTCACCATTTAACTGAAAATTAGAATTGTTTGTGGCAAATTCCATCAGTTGTCTGGAAAACTAGATTAATACAAAGATTAATAGTTTCATCTGTAAAGGAAGGTTAGTGAACATAGGTTCAGTATCTAAACTGCTAACAAGTCACAGCATATACCGATTACGTAGTTATACTCTTAACTTAATAAAGGATTGACTGTCGCATTTATAACACCCACACAAATGAAAATGTGGGGGGAGTTCGGTGGTACGTCTTGACTCGAACCTTGGACCTATTAATCCGTAATCCGCAACACTAACTATTTTGCCATGTAACTTTAAACCGTTAAGCACATTGTTCACCGTAGGTTACGAAATAAAAGTTAGATTGACTGAAATTTAGTTTGCTTGTTTGTTTTTATATAATAATCTGTATACATTTAGAATCAACTATAGATCGAATTTATCAATCGTGTGTAGAATTAAAGTTGGTCAGCTTTACTCTAGTTTTCCACTTTAGATAGGCACCGATTCCGTTTGATTGTTTAGGAGAAAACAACTTATATAAAAACTCTTTCAACTCTGAGGAGTGATAGCTTAAAATATATCTTATCAGCAGTCAAACTTACTAGGCTAGCGATAAAATACTTATATGAAGTATAGAAATAAATGCAGTAACTAGTAGCAATAATAGATGACTTGAATTTTGTGGGATATTTGATATATCACAGCTATAGATATTTGACACTAATGTTCAAATATATTAATGCAAGTCGTAACCTTGCACTTTTAAAATCTACCTCTAATTATAGTGAATTAAGCAAGTTGTCCATAAAATTAATATGACGCATAATTAATTATTCGCAATATATACTTTTAGTGTATAATTAAAGTGTTTTATTACATGATAGAAGTTTACTGGTTTTATCGTACAGTTATGATACAAAATCTTTAGTAATAGCGAGCTATTGTGTCTATATGTTAACGATCGACGTTGTAAATATTTATATAATGAAACTATCTATATAATGTGCTGATGTTGTACATATCTTTACTTCAAAGCATTATTGTTTCTGCATTATAGCGTTCTTATACAAATAAATTTATTTCAGTATACTTTTGCGTCTGTATGGTAGTGTTACTACATATATATATTTACTACACTGTACTACTGCATATGTATGTGCTACTACGTAGATATATTTGCTACAGTGGCTAGTGTGTCTGTATGATAGTGTTACTACATATATATTTATATACTTACTACACTGTACTACTGCATATGTATGTGCTACTACGTAGATATATTTGCTACAGTGGCTAGTGTGTCTGTATGATAGTGTTACTACATATATATATATACTTACTACGCTGTATTACTGCATATGTATGTGCTACTACGTAGATATATTTGATACAGTGGCTAATGTGTCTGTATGATGGTGTTACTACATATATATATATATTTACTACAGTGTACTACTGCGTGTATATGAAAACGTTTCTATTTAGATATCTTTACTAAAGAGAACTGTGTATGATAAAAATCGACAATGTAAGTATCTTTAGTATAGAAAACCACTATATCTATGGTAGTGATATTGTATACAATTTTAGTACAGAGAAGTCCTGTTGTCAAAGTATCAATACTGCTGAGAGTTATATGAGAACACCTGGAACATTATTTAGTATTAACACGTATATATTATTATGTTGTAGCATCACTGTTCTTATGCTAAATATGAAGGACACCACTAACACGTCTATGGTAGTTGTACTGTGTATATATATATTCTAGTATTTAAACTAAGAATACTCGCAATATATAGAGAAACATTCTAAGTAGTGAAATTTATAGAGAGTCTAGAGGTACTCTTTGCCATCATATGGACATGTAGAATACCTGTTCATTATAACTGAGGCCACGCTAACTGAAAATAACCTTCTGGGTTTTGGTTGCCTTTTGCACAAACTTCGGCGTTAAAATTGAAACTTAGGTTTACCGCTAATTTAAGTCTTCTTTTGGTCAACAAGAAAAATAAACATGTTAGCATCACCAAAGTAGATAAAGTCAGTTAATGTAGAAGAGACAGCTGTCGTTTTAACAGCTTCTGAAACAAGCAAAATAGCTGTTACAAATAACAACAACTGAACGTGAGCTGGAGGACGGAAAATAACGAATTAGAAAATAATTTATTGAACATGTATAATCTTCCATTGATAATTTAAAGAATTAATCAGTTAGAGTATTTCTCTAGAGTACTCTAAATCTTTGGACATATGACAAATCAAGTAACCATAGAGACGATTGTCCTGGGTGACACATATCCGTAAATACTAATTGAAGGTATGCTACTAGAAGAAGAGATTCGAGTTCTGGCATGAGTATCTTCACCATTATTATTGTAGAGAAGAAGGAAGAGTCATTAGGAGGAAGATAATGATAAAGAACTTTTATTCTTACTTGATGGTACTATCAGATCGACTTGGAAGAAGAACATCAACCAAAGTCTACCTTTACCTATAGGAGTAAACACTATGAGTTTGAAGTAAAAACCATCTGAGTTGTAAAATACACTTGCTAGATTCGGACTACTGTGTAATCAAAAAGGAGTTTCTGTTGTTTTTTTTATTTTTGCACAAAGCTATAAACCGGGTTTCGATACCCTTTGTGGCCAGAGCACCGATAGCCCCTTGTGTAGCTTTGTGCTTAACTTCAAAACAAACTAAAAAGTATATTGTGTTAAAATGTTCACATTTTTTTCTGCACAGTTCTGATGAAAGTGTTGGTTTCAGAAGAATTGCCTTTCTGTGTTTCTTATCACATTGTTTGCTCAACATCAGTTTCATAGAGTAAAAAAGAAGTAAACTTAATATGGTCAACTAAGAATTATTGGAGTAAATTTGTTTATAAGGTAAGACAGTGTATAAAGCCACTAATGACTTTGTTTACAATATCAGCAATAACCTTTGCCCAGAGACAGATCGTCATTGTGCCAATAAAATTAATGCTGTGGTTTTTGGGATACTGGTTTATTACGTGTGAGGCAGAACTGTTATTAGTTGTTTTCCAAGAACTAAGTTAAAGCTTTAATCGGCTTTCTGACATACACACTCAACAAGTCAGGTAAGTCATACTGATATCGTTAAACTTTACGCGTATCTTCACAAGTCCTGGTGCTCACAGAAGAATTTCTTGACAATTGAGAGTTCGATCAAGGAACTGACATCTTAATAACACTATATTGGAGAAAGAAATCACACTTAAATACGTGACGTTTTTATGGAGTTTATCAATTACTTATTCTCGCTCTCTCTCAGCACTGAATATAGCAAACATGAGATATAAGAAGTAAGTTATACAATCCGATCGGTTATTGAGATCTATTTAGTTGGACTAGAAGCACGTGGATATTCAGCTTTCTGTACGCATGTATCTATATCAATCACGTATGGAAAGAATATGTGTGTGAAAATGAAATCAATTTATAAGATACATTAAAAAATGATAGTTAAAGCGAAAGAAGAACACTTAATTAATAAGCTATAAATTTCTCTACGACCAAATCCTTGTAATACAGCTTGGATATAAATACGTACTGCAACACCATTTATTTTCGTCCTTTTCTATATATATTCACATCAAAAACTGTTTATCAGAAGATAATCAGAACCAAACCAAATAAAAATTACACCAATCAAAGGAAATAACAAGTTTGAATAATTAGTATGAACGATGTTTGTAGCAACTTTATATATAAGCCATATTTCACAACGTGTACTAGTAATTGCTGTTATTCTATTCTGTGGGTGTGTTGTGAAGATTTTAGACTCCAAGTTATTTACGTTTTTGTTGTTGTGAAGATTATGGATATCCCGGGTGATCATGTTATTTCTTTATTAAGATTATATAT